GCAGTCAAAACTAATGCGTCAGGCTACCTGTGTCTTAATAGAACAAGGTATAACTACAAAGTGGCTATGCGGCTACACGACTACGCAGTCAAAATTATGATATTCAGAACAATATTTTGGTATCCCTGTGTATCTTACATGTAGCTGTAGCCAGTGGCTACAGGCAGAGACGTATGATAAGTGGTGGGGTGTTCTGCAATTTAGCCGAGTCTTCTTTTTATTTATAGCAGTCTCTAAGATGATGTACTTGAATTAGTTTTGTGGTACTGTTTCGTCACCCCATCCTCCTACGTACCCCCGGGCGTACCCGAACGATTTATAGGACATCTCAAAAATACTCTATAAAACATATTTATATATTTTATATGAGCCTTCCGTTCATTGATAAGATTCTGTAAAATAAGTCTTTCAATTAATTTTTAAGGTTGAATAACGTTTGACTTTGTTTCACAGAACACGTGGAACCAAATTTTATCGGAATAAGAAAAAATCCTATTCTGATGCAATCAAGGGCCGGTATTAGTGCATATTTTTCTAAAATACCATTAAAAAAACCTATCATTTTGAAAGTTCAGTTACCTGGCTTTTTACTTCATCTGTCTGTTCAGTTAGTTTCAGATTTCGTATGATTTCTCCTTGTACGCGAATGGCTTCTTGTAGTTCATCTCTTCCTCGCTTACCGCTCGACCTCGACTCCGCCATCTTGGATTGTGAATAGCAGTGTGAGCCCGYAGTAATCTTGACCAGTTGTGTTATTTTCCGAAGACTTTCCGAGAGTAATCGAAGTATTTTCGTCCACCTGTCGTTAAATAGCGAATTCATTACGAATTTTTTACGCGCCCTTGAAAAAAAAATGGCGGATGAACTGGCAGGTTATTTTTCTATCTCTACACATTTATCATTTTTATTTATTTATTTATTTATTTTACATATATAAAATATGAATTCAAGGTTAATAGATGAACCAATGCCTCCATGGAACACTAATCATATGCAAGATTTCTAGCCGATAAGGGATTGTTATTGTTATGCAAATAATGTTTACTAGCTGTTGTTAAGCAGCGAAGTCCAGTCATCAATAATAATAAGAGACAGTTTTACTAATGATTTTTCAATGGATTTAGGAATACTGTGGTGAGGTTTTGTTTTTGGACGATGGCGACTGAAAGGACCTGAATCTAAAGGAAAGATAGAAATAAAACATCGGAAGTTTGGAGGAGAAGTAATTTGATAATCACAAGTCTTCACATCGAAAGGCTTCAGAAAATTATTGTCCAAGGTATTGCGAGTATCTTTAATACCTCAGAAAGGTTGGGAATAATTTGGTTTGGTTCAGACTTGGTAACAATTTTCTTCTACTTGATTGGACTTTGAGGAAAAGAACGATCGAGGAATCGAATTATATCGTAATGTTATTCTCTGAAGTACTTGTTGACATACAGCAAGACCGAGTACAAACAGCAAGACCGTGAGACAAGGTCGGAACTACCAGCTGATTTTCTGTCTATGAGAGATATCATCACGTTTATTGAATTTAATCCGTAAAAGTAATCATTGCATACACCATTGTGACAAAAATTGTACAATATTTGATCTCTGAGTTAATCGAATAATCTTTGAAGAACGAGAATTAAAGAATGGAATTGAAGGATAGGACATCTTATGACCTAATGAAAGACAGACATCAAGACGTCGAAGTACAACCTTACGAAAATTATACCTACCATGTTAATGGGCAGCACTTCACTGCCTTGCAGCATGATGACAAAGAAAGCATTTTGAATCATGGGAATGTAGAAAACACAAAAAGGAAAAAGAGAAGAAAGAAAAGAAGGTCAGAAGTGAACCCAGATTTAATGAGCTCACCAGAAAATGACCAAAGTGCTACAGATCGAGAAAATACTACAATAAACAGAGTGCCTGATCAGGGAAGAGTTCTAAATAAACAGAAAAGAATGCCTTTGAATAGTCTAGGAACTAGTGAAGAACTTCAGAAAATCGAGGAAGAGTTTTGCAGACAAGGAGCAGAGCCTAATAAGATTGACATTAGACAACAGGCAATCCAGCAAGCTATACATCAATCAAAAAATGAAAGTCATGAAAAGAAAAGACATTATGATTACGTATTAGTCTATAAACCTGGGGACCTTTCTACCACGCAGGAGAGACTAAGAGAAACATTTGAAAAGTCACTTGAGGAGGAAGGTTTTAGAATCGAAAAGAAGTACTCTACACTACATACATTTGTAATACTGCACTGTCCTTTTGAGAGGCTATGTATTGAAGCTGAGCATGTGATATTACAAATGCCGCTTGCAGGGGTGAGTAATAACCGTTTTTACACTGCTTCACTATCACATGCATGAAATTGTTCAATTTACTGTAGAGACAACTAAGACAACGTTTTGTTGGATGTCAGTCAGATGTTTCATGTTGTTGGTGGAAAGTATTTTGTTTTGAAGAGAGATGAGAGAAAATACCTAGAAATTTTTTGCTGAGACAAACAATGCATTGAGCACCTAGATTCCAAATCACATGGATCTGCCCTGGCTTCAAAACTGACATATTTTTTWAATCAAATTTTCAATAATCTCTTCTAGTATGTTGTTCCTGARCGAAATGAACGCAGTTGGTTATCAAGGCTGGGAGACAAGTTCAAGACTGACGACGAAGGTTGTTTATGTGTTCAAGTCAATATATTATATGCGGAACTTTTTTCTATCGTTTTTGTACCTTGTTATATAATTGACAGATTGTTTTATAATAATATTTCTTTTTTCCTAGTTGATTTTGTTAGTGCTCCATTTTGTGTATCAAAGAAAGAAATTTATGAAGGTATCAATGATCCAGAGACCTTCTTCAGGCCTGCTTTGCGGTCATTACTGGTATGTACAAAGACATACAAACCAACCTGTCTTTTTTTCTAATTAACTTTGACAGCTGCTTTAACTATGAGGACAGTAAACGTGCAGTTGGTATTAATTCATGTTGATAATGACTAGTAGTTATAAAGTCTACTAAATGGAACTACATGTGTTGATTAATACTGAAAGTGAAGAAGAAGAAAACTTAAACACCTTGTAAAATAGTTTGTAACTGTACGTACTGACATCTTTGGACGTTAGTCCTTCAACAGAGCAAAAATAAAAAAATTAAATGTTGTTTTGATTAACAGGTAAATCATATATTGATAACAATTGACATACGAGACAAGGAGTCTAGGCAGCTGGGCCAGAATCCACAAGGTATGATAGTTTAATATCATAAAATCTTGAAGACAAAAATACGTCTTCATACTAGACATACATATTCCATTTGTGTCACTAAGGTTTTCAATTTAAATTTTAGGATTACCATATCTTTTGATGGAGAAAGCCTATATTGATGCCTTTATCCTGCATGGCAAGTCCAAATATGACAAGATGTTCCCACTTTTAGAAGACAAGGAAGTGGAAGAAACCTTCCTGTATGGTCAGGATGTCACTGACCCTCGCCGATCACTTCATAATACCTGGCTAAAATGGATCAAATTCCAACCCCTGTGGAAAATAAGGAATTACTTTGGAGAGAAAATAGCTTTGTAYTTTGCTTGGCTAGGTAAAATGAGCAATTTTCTAAATTCAATCCCCTTTCCTCTCTATTTTGTAATCTTGATTAACCTTGGTGGTATACCTGTGGTCATTAAAAAAACAAATAGAATATAAGCAGCTAGGTAGAAATGTTAAGAAGGATATTCAATAGGCTGATCTTTATTTACATTTTTTCTCATTAGTATAAGAAAATTATAGTAAAATAGTAAAATGTTTTTGAAAACTCTATGAATTATAAAGAAAGGTATGGTTGTGTGGCAAGTCTTGCCACACGACCATACATTTCTTTGTAAATCATACCRCTTTCAAAAAAAATTTACTCCCAAAATATTGAACATATTACTCTCAGATTTTCAGTAGTTACTAAATAAGACATTCTCTTTCGATTTCTGGAGTCAGTTTGTTTGTAGCTTGAAATTTGTTTACGCTAATGAGTAAAAAGCGTAAGTACTGATTGGCCTAATTTAGTCTCCAGCTTATGCAGGGGCTCATAAAAAATCTGAGTCCACCTAACAGGATTCAAACCTGTGACTTTCTGCATTAGTTCAGTTCAGAATGCAATATATTTAATACTGTATATTATAACTGACAGTTTTTCCTCTCCCATTCCCACAGGATCCATGACCTTTTCTCTTATAATTCCAATGCTGTTTGGCCTTGCTGTATTTCTTTGGGGTCTGATTGATGCGTAAGTAAATTTTACAAACACAAGGTTAAGTAATGATAAGCTTTTGATAAATAGCAAAAATGTTTTGCATTCACCATCAAAACTGGAGAAGCTTATATTGTATCATTAAAGGTGTCAGATGTCTCCAGCAAAAGTGTATTTTCTCTTTACCATCTACAGCTCTCTTTTTGTTTTCATTATCAATTAGTAATATTCTTTGCTCTCTACTCAAATTACATTTCCTCAGTTTCTTTCCCAATTATCCTTCTATTTTCATTCTTCATACTCTATTCTTTAGGCTGCCCTGACAGTAGTTAACTTTCCTTCTTATTTTATAACCCTTTTATTCTTCTTTTCCATTGTTATTTTCTATCCAGACTGAATTTTCCTTTCATTCTACCTATCTTCTATTCTTACTCTGCATTTTTTTACTTTTCTTTACATCCCTCTACTTGAATCCTCTTTACTCTTGATACTACTTCAGCACCGTCAAATGGTATCATATCATTTATCATATCCTGAGGTGAGTCTCAGCCAACTTCTACTCTATTTATTTCTCTGTTCAAGGAAATGGACTTTGATCATCTGTAACAGATCTTTCCTAATAAATCCATTCTCATTGATCTGTCACCTGATATCTTTACACTTTTAAGTCAAGATTTTTCAATTCTACCTTCTCATTCCTTCAAAGGACAAATCTCTACTGACTCTAAAGGGTATAAATCAGAATAACTCACTATGAACTCAACCTTCTCAATCTTCAATCCAGAATGTGAATACCCAAAAGGGTTACTACTAGTCACTTGGTGCTGTTGTGAAAAAATTGTTTTTAATTATAATTGTTATTATATAGTTAGGATAGTATGCGCGCGCTGATTGGTCATAAACTGTGCTTTATTAGTGAATGGAGCATAGTGCTGACTCCATCCACGTGTGTGAAGTGCTACTAGATCCTGTGATATTTTTCTTTTTGCATAAATAAATTCAATACAGAAATAAGATTAGTGACTATGATATGATAAAATGAATAAAACAGCGCCATAAGCGCTCAAGAAGTGAGAGAAGCACTAGCCTATGGCTCAGACTTCTCCTTACACTTTTTTCATGCTTACGCCACTTTCTGCGTGCTTTATCACTGAATGGAGCACGGAAAAAGCTGTTTTATTTGTTAAGCATTAATCTAAGGAAGTACCAGTATTGGTACTTTATACTTGCAGTTTCTCTGTAATTGCTGTAATGTGTCATTCCCATGAGAATGAAATCTTTGTTTGCCAGTAATGCTTGAAAAGTTATATAATTATACACACCAAATTGACAAGACGTTGTCAGGTTGAAAAAGGTTCAATCAGGGAAAACAGTTAATGGGGATAATAGAGCCTTTGCACCATCACGTGATGGCAGCCATGACAGCAGGCAGGAACAATTGAATCTGGTCTCATCTGATTTGCATGAGAAAGAATTCAGTCTCCCAGTGGGAAAAGACTATTGTTGTGCCTCCTGTCATTGCTGCCATCATGTGATGGTGCAAAGCCTCTATATTATGCATATTGCAGTTTTGCAGCTCTCAAACATTGATTTATTAAACCAAAAAAAGCATTTTGTCACTCTTCATGTGCTYGTATGCAAACACTCCAATTTCCTAGGATATCGACTACCCAGAATACCCTTTGGTCTTAATTTTGATGCCAATTTATCCTTTTGAGCCTGAACATCAAAACAAGAATCTTATTCCAAGAAACATCATACCTTATCTTTCTTGGTAGTGTCGATGAACATCCTTTGAGGCAGACCAATGCGACCATTACAAATATCACTGGTAAATGGGTCAAGAATGCATTTGATAACTCTATTACACCTTACTTTGCATTGGTCATCTGTTTATGGGGTAAGTTAAAAATATTCATGTACATTTTAAAAAGAGTTCTTCTTCAACTTCAAAAAATGGGTGGAGGGAGGGAGGGGACGGAGGGAGGGAGGGGACGGAGGAAAGGATGGGATGGAGGGAGGGAGGCATAGATGGGATGCACAGATGGATGGATGGATGGAAAGACTGTTGTAAAGAATGTCAAATTTTAGCTTCATGTTTTGAATTCCATGTTTTTTAGGAACAATTTTTCTAGAAAACTGGAAACGTACCAATGCCAGGCTTGCATACAAATGGGACGTAGATGAGTTTGAGGAACAGGTTAGTTATACCAAATATCAAATCCTTGGATAACATCTCCTTAAATTTTAAGCTCCTATTCATAGATAATTTTTCTTTTCTATAGGAACCTAACCGCCCTGAATATTATGGCACAGAGATTAGACCTGTAAGTATTCCTGCATAATAACAGACACACTAACTAGGACAAAATTAACCAATCACAATGTGATGTGAAAACTGTAGCCAATCAGGAGAGAGCAGGATCAATATCATATTGACATTAGCCAATCACAATCTTTTATTCCCATAGTTGTTGGTAACATATAAATAGTTTATTAGATTTAGGATTTGTTGCTTACTCCTGATTGGCTTAACTTTTTAATGCTTTGTTTTCATTCTACATCGGGATTGGTCAACTTTGTAAAGGTGGTTCACGTTAGTCAGTCCATGATTTGATTGATGGTGTTAAAGTATTGAGGAATAGCACGTATCAAAACATTTTTTATTGGTATTTTCACCTTCTTTCTTCACAGGATCCCATCACTGGACAACATGAACTGTTCTATCCTTTCAGGCTGAGAGTCACAAAGATGACGGGTTCCTTTGGTCTTCTTTTATTTATGGTAAATATTGCACACTGCTTGCTTTATGCCTACCCATTTTCTCATGTCACAAATATTAGAATTCCAAGKCAGTCCAGGAATCGAACACAAGACCCCAGAGGTGATAGGCTGGCTAAGTTCAGTGAACCAGATCTACCTAGTGTAAAACATCAAAGTGTTTTTAAAGTAAAATGAGTGATTTCTTCCTTCCTTGATGCTGTGCAGGTTTGTCTGGTACTGGCAAGTCTCTTTGCTGTCATCGTTTACAGAATCATAGCAAGAGAAGATCTGTTCAAGTCTAGTGGTCCTTTTGGTCCCACTATTGCAAGCATCACGTCAACGTTTCTCAATACTTGTTCGATTATGATCATGGGCAAAGTTAGTACTAGTACTTTCAGACTTTTTTTGTCTACCCTCCACGTGGGTTGTCTGTGTTGGAGGTGTCAAAATGCCGTCAGTCCTCTTTTGAGTTCGATAATGCCTTGTGGTCTAGCTTTGGTACAAGCAACCTCCAATAAGGCATAATGCCGGAACAAAAGATGTTTGTACTTAAACGAGATCACAATGGCCAAAAACTTTGGCTATGATATCACATACCAATAAACAATAGATGCCACTTAGAATAACGTAAAGGATATAGTATAGCCTTGTGTCCATACCCTTGGTCATTCCTTTTCTTAGGAATATATTTTTACCCCTGCAGAAATATGAAATCCAGATTTACTTGTGTCTTTTTCTCCTTTGCGCAGGTGTATCAGGTGCTAGCAGTGCGCCTTACGGACTGGGGTAGGTGTCTTTCTTTCACTATATAATCTAGAAAAGAAAACTCGAATTAAGAGGTTCCTGACAAAATCACATGTGAGTAGAGTTTGTTAGGTCTCTTGGCTCACCGGTTTTTCATCCATCACTTCGCAAAAAACTAACTCGCTCAATTCCAATTAAATCTAAGAAACAGTAATGATAAAAAGGTAAATTATACACCGTGAAAAGATGAAAGAACTTACTGACGTTTCGGACGCTAGTCCTTCGTCGGAGTAAAAGAGCCTCTTAGCTTTTTACTCCGACGAAGGACTAGCGTCCGAAATGTCAGTAAGTTTTTTCATCTTTTCACGRTGTATAATTTACCTTTTTATCATTACTGTTTCATTAGAAACACCGACGCAGCTCACGCTAAATTTTAGCTAGTTATCTCTTCCAATTAAATCTGTGAGGTACCCATGCCCTGACTTTGATCAGCCCAGAGGGTGTAGCAGGTTATCGATAAAAATTTTCAATTTGAAGGTATATATAAGCCTTATCTTGAGCCAATTTCATACGACTGTGAAAATCTCACGTTAGCAATATGGCTTGACGTGATTGTGACGTAACCTTGCGATGCCCAAATATTTTTTTGGATGACCAGTGATCCCGTGCAACGTGATTGGTTCAAAGGATTTCGTCCATTCCGTACGGTGAGAGTTTCTTGTGCCATGTTGTTCCACGGTCATGTAATAACTACTTTCTTACCTTGCAGAGAATCACCGGACACAGACAAGCTATGAAGATGCACTCATCATCAAGCTGTTTGGCTTCCAGTTTGTCAATTCTTACTCCTCGTTATTCTACATCGCTTTCTTTAGACGGGTAAATACAATGTTACGGTCTTCTGCATGTATTTGCTTTTTTGTTTTACCTAAGGTCTTTAGAGGAGGTTCCATTAATACTATATCTGCGATTGATCAAAAAAAAAAAAGATTCAAAACCTAGTCTGCGTTACTTGGCGGTCTGCGGCTGTTGCAGCTGCCCTCTCCCTCCCTTCCCCTTCTGACAAGAAAAACAACAACTACCGCAGACCGTCAAGCAATGCAGACTATCGTAAGGATGGTTTGCCAATAGTTATCAGTATTGCTCCCCTTTATTTATCGATTACAAATCATCAATTGACGGATTGTTACTATGGTAACTCTCCAGAGATGCGCATTTGAACGTGTAATCGTTTTGTATTTAGTATGTTTATGTATTTGCTGACAGGACACAGCATCTGAAGGTATTCTTGGGTTTGGACCAAACTACAACGACGCCTGTGGTGCTGACAATGACTGTATGTCACTATTGTCTCTTCAAGTGGCCATGTTGATGATCATGAAACCACTGCCTAAAGTCTTCTCCGATATCGTTCTACCGTGAGTTTTCATCATATGAATTAATACTAGTAATACTGAGAAAAGTGAAGCTGCTTTTGCTTAACGTGCTATACATGACACAGGACAGAGTCATCCTGAGCGAAAYTCAAACCGCTCTTTTAGTTTGCGCATGCGCGTCTTCACTCAAAAATGAAATTAAAACAGTAGTTGGTTCGCAAAAGAGATGGTCATTGTTCACCGGGACAAACTTTTTCCTTTTGTCTTCATTGATCAGCTTGACTAAGTACGTTGATCCTTGAGCTAGCCTGTGTGTATATAGCACGTTTCCTATATCCGGGCTCTCCTAGTTCGCAACGTTTGACAGTAGAACCACATTACTGTACCTTCGAATGCATAGTAATCTCTTTATTCTTATCGTTATCTGTTATAGTTTTATCAAGCGTATCTGGCGCCAAGGCTGTTGCAACAACAAAGTAGACGAAGCTGACGAGGTCATCAACCACGAGGTGGAAGACTTCCTGACCTACGAACTACATAAAGAACCATTAGTAGACTTCACCCTGTCTGAATACACAGAAAAARGTATGGTACAATACTAAACATGAACAATGAACTGTTGTACAGGGGGAAGGTGTTGCGCTAGCTGCAAGAGGTAGGCTGACAGCCACCTTAAAAATTAACTTATATAAATGTCTTATACTAAAGTGTAATCTTCTTTCCGTCTTACAGTTCTTCAATATGGATTTCTCATGGTAAGTTTATATTCTTTATTCTTATTTGTCTTCAGTTAAAAAAGAAACATGCACTAAAATATTGCCTACAAGCACATCGATGTAACCGTTGACCTTTTTTCCTTCCTTAGCTTTTCGCAGCAGCTTTCCCACTTGCGCCATTGATAGCACTTCTGACTAACTTGATCGACATGAAGGTGGATGCTAGAAGATTACTGTGGATCAATAGAAGACCGATCGCTTTCCGCGCTCAAGACATTGGTAAGGATGTGTTTAGTATATCTGTTGTATCTCAAAGATGACCACTTTAAGTGGCGGTCCCGTCTCTCCGCACTTCAACATTACCAGTATCGGAGTGACGTAAAAGAACCACTGAGGACATAAAGAAACCCTGGCAGTGATTACCCTACATATCCATATGCAAAAGAGCACAATATAAATAATAAATAATWAAGGTTGGGATTCAGTAAGACGGTTTCTTTTCTGCCTTCTTCAGATTTTACGAGGGTTACGTAGTAAAACCTTCGCATCTCGCCACTGTGAGTCCTGCGGGTCGAGTCGCTGGTTCGAGTCGTGCGGGCGCCACATGAGAATAGAGTTTTTTTTGTTTGTCACGAGGGATTTTCTCCGGTTTTCCTCACCACGCGAAATACAACATGAATTGAGAGTTGTGTGCTTTGTATAATTTTAAAATATAATGGTAGTGAGTGTGGAGTATCTCATATACTTAAACTATAGCCTCTGGCAAGGAAGACTCGCCAACGACTTCCCGTATCACGACGTCAAATAAAAACTTTATTTCCTGCTACGATTTATTATATAGTTAGGATAGTACGCGCGCGCTGATTGGTCGAAAACTGTGCTTTATTAGTGAACGGAGCACAGTGCTGACGCCATCTGCGTGCGCAAGTTTCTGCTAGATCCCGCAACCTTCTGCCTTTTTACGTAAATAAATTCAATACCGAAATAAGTCTAGTAACTRTATAATAAAACAATTTTTTCGTGCTCCGTTCAATAATAAAGCACTTAGGAAGCGCCGTAAGCACTCAAGAAGTGTGAGAAGAACTCGCCTATGGCTCGGACTTCTCCTTACGCTTTTTTCATGCTTACGCCACTTCCTGCGTGCTTTATTACTGAATAGAGCACGGAAAAAGCTGTTTTATTTGTTAAATATGGTGACATTTGCCAATTTTCAGGCATGTGGTATGGCATCCTAGAGTTCCTCAACATAGTAGGGGTAGTAACCAATGGTTTCCTGGTTACATTCACCTCTGACTACGGCAAGCATTGGGAGGGATTCGCTACTACTGTCACCTTTAACAAGACTGTAGTTAATACAGTAAATAATCAGACTGTGGTACAACTTATCGTCCAACAAGAGCCAACCTTCAATAGACTCTGGCTGCTCATAGGATTTGAGGTATGATAGCACTAAAATGTTAGAGCGGCTTTTTGTTTGGCTCGAAAACTAGCCTGCGTAGCGGCTCAAATTTTGGGGGAAGGGGGAGGGGTGGGGAGCCTGTGTCCCCAATGCGCCGCTACTCRGGCTACTCGAAGATGCACTGTACTGACCTGCAGTGTGTATATGGTACAAAATGCCGTAACATTTAAATGGTTTCCCTATATGTATTCCAGTGAATCATCCAATCGCAAAGTGTAGTTACGGCTACAGCAAGGAAGGGCATGGCTACAGTACGGCTAAGAATCGTTTCCTATTCATACAAAACCCTTGATTTAGGACAGTGGATTTTTTTATTTCTGTTCCGTAACGTAACCGTGTCGTTCGTATTGTATAATAAGTTAACACAACTTAATGGTTCTTATTCACAGCATATCGTGTTTGCAATCAAGTTCCTCATCGCCTGGCTTATCCCCGATGTCCCAAGCGATGTCCGTATGGCCCAACGAAGGGTAAGGAAATTACAGTTATGCTTCGGAAAGATTTTCTACTTTTGGCAACTTCTGTTTAATTAATTCATGTAACAAAATTAAAAGCTTAGCTAATGTGACTATTGTTTGTCGTGATGCCATTACTATAAATAATTATTCAACATTTGACGTGCATCGAYTTATGTGCACGCGGAAGGTCGCTAAACGATGGCGAGTCCACCGAGATATGGTTATCGCTCGTCCACGCTTATGTAATGAATCAACAAATGAATCAGCATGCATCATATGGGACCTAACCGCTTATTACCAAGGCAATAACTGATCACCCTTTGAAATCTAACCGAAATATTTTCAAACTTTTTAGGAAAAACATCACCTCGCTGATATTTTATCCAAAGCAGGCATGCGCAAGGGACCTGGTAGGAAACTAACAGAGTCATCAACACAGTCCCGACGGCCATTGCGAACCTCCCAATCCAGTCCTGTAATAATAACCAACACTCAGGCAAATAACGGGCAGTTACAACGGGAGACTGGAGCGAGCAGCTTATTGGACAGAAACAATCACGTGATGCCAAAAACTCGATTAGATCCACTTCCGGTTAACTATGTACCAAAGTTTAAAGTAAATCAAAGAGACTCTAGTGATAAGGTAGTCTAGGATAACGTTTTTTTGAAATATAAGAAATAAGGCATATGGTATTTATACTATTTATATTTTATTATTCAAAACTATACCAGACTAAATTTCATACGACTAAATAACGGCGCACTGTACTCTAGCCTGCGTGAAGACCGAATTTAACCTTCGTTGAGTCGGTCAGTCTGCACGCAGGCTAACTGTACTCTTACGGTGCACAAGTGTAACAAGAAAAATGATAAAACTATATTTATTCTTAATTGATACTAAAAACATATTTATGTACAAATTTTCAAGCTTCCATTTCATGCACCACATTGAAAAAACGTCTTGGTTCAAAAGGTTAAATTATCGATTAAGAGTGACAAAATGCTTTGTTCGATATCACGGATAYAAGCTTCAATCTTGACTTAGCTAATTCAGTATCATAAGCTACTAAAAACTCAAAAGATATATGTATCATATATAATATATATTAATATTTTAAGACGAGACTGAGCTTTTTTTCAATTCAAGTTGACTGTGAGGAATTCCGTCTAAGATGGTCGACTTAATTGTTTTTATTCCCTCTTTGAGCCAATCCGAGAAAGCTGTTTCTTATCCACTCAACTTGATCGAAAATATTAAGAACAACTGAATAAAAACATGTACAGACCATGAATTCTTCAACATTTGTTTGTATCAAGTCCAGTACATATATCATATACAGGTCTCGAGCTATATTTCCCTGGATATTTTGGGGAACGTAATTTGCATAACTCACACGAGCGGTTGTTCAATTCAATTTAAAATAATTATTTGCAACGCGAAAATTCAACTTCATAAGCTACATGATATATATATATACATACATATATATATCATTGAGTGTCATCAACGTAGAAATGGAAACACATGTCGTGTTTGCGGATAACATCGTCCATGGTGCTGTATAGAGTAGAAAAAAAATGTGGTCCAAGGACACACCCTTGAGGTAGTCCATAGGTAGACCTCGTTTGGAAGATGTTCCCCCATTTACACTGATATATTGCTTTCTTCCTGATAAATGAGACGTTCCAGGTAAGAACATCAACACAGAAGCCAAATCGCTGGTGCAGCCTTGAAACTGGAACACCGGTCGACAGCGCGATCAAACGCGGTCCAAAAGAACTGATTTTTTTTCATCTATAGCACGATGTATGTCATTGTGTACTCTAATCAATGCTGTTTCTGTGTTATGATGTAGTTTGCAGTGTTTGCAGTATGCTGACTTAAAACGTTCATAAGACACGTGAATAAAAAGCTAGTGTTTCACGTGACAAAAGGATTTACAATATACTTAATAATAATAAACGCTTCTAATCAATGGTCCTTTCTAATGGATACGAAAGGCATAGGAACGAGAATTGTGATAAGTCAGGGTAGAGTGCACGCCATACGTGAACCAAACAAAACCAAAAATGTATTGCCTAATTGCAGCTATTTTGTACATTAGTGGATATTACCGAGGAGCAAAACATTGGGAACAAAAGCAAATACCTCTACGCGTCTTTGTTTGTTTTGTACCTGCGCCAGTCCTTAGCTATTTTACAACGAAATAGTTGATARCTAAATACTTTTAAGCGCTACATGGCTAGTAATTGTTCCATAGAGTGAAGGAATTCAACCCGTGCAGTAGATATTAGACTAACACACKAGTAGATCCTAATTCCATTGTTTTCTTTTGTGTCTTATTGACTACTACACGTTGACTAGTATTTTTTTGTTTCACGGGTTAAATGCCTCACTCTATATGGCGTGCGCTCTAAGCAAACGATGTATTAGGTTCACGCCGACGTCTTGATGTCATTAAGTACGGCTCATGTGAAGTTCGACATAATCAGATCGATCGGCCGAAGATCGAACATTGATATATGTTTTTTGACACCAACTGCACTTTGTGTTAAAATGAACACCATAAATGAAAAGAACACTKAAATTCTAAATGAGTAATATGTGACACGAGAAATACCATGAAAATATATAAAAGTCGAATATTTTAAAAATTAATCAATATAGAAAAATTCGCTGGAGGTCAAGAGCAATAACTGATAACTGAAATATATGATTTTGTACACTTTTAGGTAAATTTCACTTCAGAACACTTGTCGTTAATTACACTGCAAAATGTAACCCATTCTTGAATTTACGTCATCTCATTTGCATATTGATATTTCAAATGTTTATATCTCAAAATGTTTATATCTAAAACAGAAGACCACATAAAAAAATACTGCAACCACAGTACTACACTGTTCACATATGAGTGATTTTGAAAATATTTTTTTCCCTTGATATAAACCTAAATTCTTCAACATTTGTTTGTACCAAGTCCAGTACATATACCATACACAGGYATCGAGCTATTTCCCTGGATATTTTGGGGAACGTAAAATACGTACCTCGCACGTGCGGTTGTTCAATCCAATTTTTAAAAAAATGCAACGCGAAAATATAAAAAAATCAATCCTTGGATTAGATTGTAATGAGTCACGTGACTATAGCCAAGCAGATATGTCAAAGCGAGCCCCAGAAATGAAAAGCGAAGCTCGATATTGCTGCAAAGACGAAATAATGTCAGCTCTTGGCGTGGACTATTTGAGAAATGGCATGGATTATAGTTTCGAAAGGGAAGATATATTGAATGGCAGCTGTAGCTCTTGACCTCCAGCACATTTTTCCATATTTAATAAAACATTCGATTTTATATTTTCATGGCGGATATTTCTCGTGTCACATCTGATTATGATCTGAAACTTGGCTCTCTAACACATTTAGAGGTGCTCTTTCCATTTCTGATTGTTCATTTTAACACAAAGTGCTTAGTTTAAGGGGGTAGTAGCGACAAAAACATATATCAGTGTTGGATCTTCAGCTTGATTGTTTATTATTATTATTACTATTATTATTACTATTATTAAAAAGGACAGCGATAGGAAACATATAGCTTTTTAGTATTATGCTTCTCCAAGCAACTACTTATCAAGATTATTATTATTATTATTATTATTATTATTATTATTAATATTAGGTAAATTCTCTCAGCACCTGATATGGGAGGGACTAGGTTGGGAGGGGCTAGATTAGTTTACATAACTTGATAGACCTGTTGAACCTTTTTTTTAAAACTAGTTAAACCTGTTTCTATCCATTTAGAGCACGACACGTTACCTTTGCTAAGCGAAGTATTGTTTAGTAWGGATATAAAAGAAAGAAAAAACTAGCGAAAATATTCAATTGATACTTCAGCAGTTATCGAGGTAAGTCAGTCTCTCTTCYACACAAAAGGTTGTACTAGCTTGTGCTCATTCATAGCAACTTTTAAGTATTAGTATGGACGGTGTAGTGCGTTTGCTCAGCAAAATGAAATATTACTCAATCAGTTCTAAAAACACGCTGTGTCTGACTGACTTTAATCAATATTTACAGATAAATACCCAGTCAAGACAGAACAATTCTTTTTAGACAGTTTGAAGTGAAGCAATGTAAGTATACTTTTATAGCTTGGACACACTTGCTGAGCATTTTCAAAGCCTAATATTATGGGAATGAAGGGTGGGGTGTCAGGGTTCATTCCAAGTCTGACTGGCACATCAAATGTGAGTAGAGTTTGTTAGTTTTCTCCCATGTTTCGAGGGTTTTTCTTATAATGATAATAATATCAATTCATAATAGTAACAATTTATTACTTATATAGTTTCTCTGGTTTTCCTCCCTCCTCAAAACCTCACAAGCTAAATTCCAATTTGATCTGTGAGTTAGCCATGTCCTGACTTTGATCAGCCCAGACGATACTTCAGGGTATTGATAAAATTTGAGGGTTTGAAAATGTTGTCACCAGTTGCTGAGAGTTATCAGATCCAGTGGATTTTGTAGTCGTCTTTTGAATACTCAAGAACGTGAATAAGTCAMTAACTTATGGCTTTGAATTTTTAATCAAAATATAGTACATGCGTTAAACATTCAACACGTACATCCATTCCTTCATTCTTTGTCTTTCGTTATTCCTTTGTTGAACCATATCTTCGTTTCTTCTTTCTTTCTTTCTTTCTTTCTTTCTTTCTTTCTTTCTTTCTTTCCTCCCTTCATATCTTCATAAATATATTTGTTCTTTCCCATTTCGCTCTTATTTTTCTTCCTTCTTGAAATATTTTACTCTTTTCCTCAGAACATTGAAAACATGAAGCTTTTTCTTGCATTGTTGATCGTGTCAGCACTGGTTGCCTGTACAATGGCCATGGAGTATGACCTGAACGAGGATTTGATAAGGCCGTCTTTCGCAGAAAACGTTGATGCGTCTCAGCGCACTGTTGCCCGAGGTCACGCTTGTTCACCTTGCCCCAGATCGTGCCAAGTTCAAGATCGAAATACCTGCAAATGCAGACCCTCTCCTTCATGTGGCTAGTAATGTCAGGATAATATCGGATCGCCAGAAAATCATTATTGGAAATTAAGCAATGAAAACTAAGGGTAAAAAGTTGTGCTAAAAAATATAGATTAAAGATTTAAGAAAGAAACGATAAATGAAATGGTTAAGAGAGATTCGAAATTGTCATTAATTGTTGCATATCATCAGTTCCTGTTATCACATTAAAACCATCAACCTGAATCTTTTACGTTTGTTTTTTCTATCATTCATTTGGATGGTATTATTTTCCTATTTTGGGTGATGCTTCTGGTTCTATGAATAACCCGGGGAACGTAATTCCAAGCATACAGACTGAATAGGGGTGTACTTGACGAATATGTGCTTTTACACAAAAATATTTCAAGACAAGACTTTCTTTCAATTCGAGTTGACGTGATGAATGACCCAAACTCGTCGAATAATTGATTTTTGTAGCCATTCCCTTTCAAGCCAATCCTAGAAACCTATTTCTGTTATTTTCATAAACATGCAAACTCTGTAGCCGCGAGCTGCAGGCTGAAATATGGTTTTCCGCTTCCGCCAATCAAAAATATGAAAGATACCACCTGTTAAGTTTTGATTGACAGCAGCGAAATTCATGACCCTCCCATTAAATCAACTTAAGGTAAAAAGTTTCGTCGAAATAAAAAGGTTTGACCCTTCACATAAGTCCAATTTTTTACTAATGATCCTTATAACTCTGAAGCCCCAGCCCCCCCTCCCCTAAATAAAACCGTACCCTTCCTTATATGTCTTAAATGGGGAGGTATGACCCAAGATCTTGCCAGTAAACCAAATTCAGTTTCAGAAATACACATATTCATAAAAATCCAACATTTGCATTTCAGATGTAAAAAATAATTTTCAAGCCTATGATATGGCAATAAATATTTTTTTCCAGTAGAGAGAAGTGTGCAGTCATAGAGTATCGTATGTATATGGTAGATAAATAATTCAAATTTTCAAATTTTATCAAATTTTGTTTTTAAGGTGGAACCAAACTAATTCAGAGCGAATTTTGGACAATTTTATTCTTACTCGCATCGCAAAACTAGTGCCTCAATTTAACTGATTTTTCATATAATTTGCTTGGATTATCCTAGATTCTAACAGTTCGCACTGAATTAGTTTGGTTCCACCTTAAATAGACCTCTATACCTTGGGCGTAATGTTTTCCCATTTCAGACCACCAGTCACTTCCTTGAGAATGAGATTCTTTCTTTGAGTTGTATCCATATTCATGTTTCTTCTCATGTGCAACCGTTAAACAAAGGAATGATACTCAAGGTAATGACAGATAGTCTGAAATGGGAAAACATTGCACTAAAGGTAAAAAATCTATTGTGGACTACATCCTGGTTAGTTTGACGACACAAGGTCATCAGACCGAGACTGTCCAATAGAATATTGTTTAAGTATCTCAGGCGAGTTTTTACATGCGGTTTCAATTGGTAGTACGATRATTTTATCCTTGTCGAGTTCAAAGTGTAGATAGTCATCACGACTGAGTAGGGTGGGGTCATCTTCCAGACCCGCGCTACCTTCGTGTCGGTTTACGAAACAAGTGAGCCCCCGCGGCCCAAAATGAGAGGTAGATACAATATTCAATGCATGAGGTCTCTCAGTAATTAAGGTCCGGGTTTCACTTGTTGGGSTTACAGTTTCAGAACGAAGTATTTCTTTGCGGGTGATTTTGTCACTCCTACAGTCTTCTTCGTTATAGGACCCCTTCTCTCGTTCATTGAGCGCATCAGAAGTCTCAGTTTCGGTAGACCCAAAACCCTCGTTACAGGATGACTCATTACTATCAGTAGTTTCTTGGGGTTGGGGTTGCGAGCTGTCGCCTTTGCTGTCTTTAGCCTTCTGGAGTATAGGCTGTGTTACTTGATCTAATACTGATGCCAAGTGTTTAAGGTTTAATATCGCGATACCGTTTACCTTGTACAGTTGAATGTTGGAAAGGTTTTCGTATCCAGTCGTTAACTTAGATGCTAGTACCTATACGAAGACGTATTTCTTTTAAAACTCAGGAAAAATTATCGTCGAGCGCCATAATCTGCGGGACCTTTGCATATATACTGTGGCTAGAAGGCCATTTGAGCCAAGTGGGGGGAATTTTATCATTACTAAATCGTCTTAGAAAGAGGAAGTCACAAAAGCGCAGGATGTCATTTTTTGCCACCATTCTGAGCTATGGTAGTCCCGGAAAGACGTCACCATCTGCCATTTCTACCGTTACAACTTGCTGCTTGGTGCAAGAGGGGATACAAGCCTGCYGCTTGGCATGCTTAGACTACTAGACTATTCGAAATATAGGAGATGATTGCCTTTAAACAATGGTTGTATTTGGGTCACTTTCTATACGTATCGTATTGACCCAAATGTCTCGGCTTGAAACATTAGTCCCTTTCACAGTTTCCTGCACCGTCTTGAAAGGTAGCCATGCCTTTGCATCAAAGCGGGACGAACAGTGAGCTTGCAATGATAGAGACCTTTTTTTAACACCTTGGACATTTATTCACATGTCTCTATCATTGCAAGCTCACCATTTGTCTCCGTTCRATACAAAGGCATGGCTACCTTTCAAGATGGGAACTGTGAAGGGGACTATTGTTTGAAGGCGTAGAGTGGGTATACCTAATATCTGCTATTTGGACAAATTAAGTTGCCAAAAGCTAGAATATTGCTAATCCTTGAATAGAATTTATGTATGTTGTCTTGGTTAAAAAGGGTTTTACTCGAAAATATGACATCATGGGTGGTCTATTTACTGACCTGGCTTAGAATCACCACTTCTTGATCAGGTTGTTCTAAGATTCCATATAGAACACGATCGCAAAGTCTTATGGGTGCYTTTCGTGCCCAGTCCTTCCCATACTGGTGCTGCATGTAGGGCTGGGAAAGAGCCACAAATACCAGCCCAGCAAACACCAGGAAGCTACAGAAAAGAAGAAAAAAAGGAAATCGAATGAGTAACCATACAACATGCACTTGTCCCAACACAAATGATTGCGACTTAACATTTTTTTTCACTCCTAAATAAAATGCAATAGTAACAGTACGAGCAAAGSCTATAGGTTTGGGGATTTGAGTAAACTGACCTTGGTCTTTTGTCGTAGAGTTGTGTYGGTACGAGTGTTGTGACTTTATCCAACTGAACATCCACTTTTATTTCTTTTCCTTGTCTCAAAATTGAAAGCTCACAATTGTCATTCACGAATTTGTTGGAGAGAATAAAATCGAATAGAATTCTTTCGTTTCCTCGAAAATGGACCTTTGAAGAGAAAATGAATAAAGAATGTACAAAATCTAGAAAAATTGATGAAGTTAAGAGTAAATTTCACACAGGATAAARCTAAGCGCACATTCATCAAACCATTTATCGATAGCACATGAGACACTCAGTGAGTTGCTCATCCAATCAAAACACAGGAAAACAGCACATGCTTATAGACTGTACTTTGAAAGGGTTGGTGTTTAAGAGTTAGGTATACATTTAGTTAACGAAATACTAGGACCTCAAAGAAACATGACAGCCAGCTAGGTCAGTAATGGGGATGTGCCCATCACCCTCTTTGTTTTGTCCTCTCCCTCCCCTCCCTTCTTATGTTTCTGCTAGGCCTTATTTGCCCAATTGCTTGATTTTGAATAGTAAATATTATATCATAATAAAATTCATTTATTCCTACCGTTCCATCATCAGCTACAGACTCCCCATTTATTGCCATCAGTACATCTCCTCTAATGACCTTTTTGCTGCAGCTAAACAGGTTCAACACCTTGGTAACTAACACCCCAGTCTGGTCTGTAGTCATCTTAAAGTAGGATCGCATGTGTTCGCTGTCTATAGGCTGCCATTTTATACCTAGCCTACAGAATCCATAATATGTTTTGTTTCTTTCTATGTCTTCTAGGAAATGATCTATGACTGTCACCTGAAAGTAATAGTGGGGTTACTGAAGTCTTTGGTTACCCTGTGGTTCGTTGCACATGATAGAGAGGCATTTTCAGACCAGAGGAAGCCCACTTTAGAGTAAAGACACAATTATACGGAGCAATTTGGGCATGGGGCATTGCAGCAATCAACCAGTGCAATTTGAAATGTTGCAAGACAGGTTGMAAAGTAGAATTAGTTTGTACTTTTTACAACAATTGAGTCTCTGTTGCACAGTGTAAACACTCTTGCAACTTGCTTCGCAACACTCTTGTAAAAAAGACAAGTCGCAGAGAAAATTGTAATCACACCTTAAAGTAATAAAAGATAACCTTCAGCTCAGAGATAGTTAGCCTCCTTTGCAGATATAACTTAACCATTTCCTGCCTACTGCACAATAATGAACTTTTTTATGGTGCGCAGATTGTAACAACTTACAGGTATGATGTAGCCAATGTTCTCGGCATTGTCAAGGGTCTCAAATGCAATTCCAATCAGTTTGTCGTCTTGTAATGCTGGTCCACCACTATTACCACTATTGATAGCTGCATCAATCTGTATGGAAATGTTCAACAGTTAACAGTGAACTCAATTAAGGTAAAATATTTGTGCTGTGTTAGCAAAGCAATGAATTGTAAGGGTGGGGCTGGTGAAGGTCAAAAAGAGGGTCATGGAGTTGACACTGCCACTATATCATCTTCATATGGGCAGCATTAGCTGCTTAGATGCTGTCTTCCATAATATAAATTATCATATATAAACCTCAAGTTTATATATAAGATATGGGACAGCATTAATAATATAATTGAACATAATAAACAAGTACAATACTATACCTGAATGGCTAACAGCTCCACAGCAGAATGAGCATATCTCTGCATTTCTACGCGGGATACCACACCCCTCGTAACACTAATATTATCCCCTCCAGTAGGGAAACCAACGCACACCACATCTTCTTCAAGGTCTGGGAGTTTACCGAAAGGTAATGGATAGAGATCTTTCCAGAACTTGTCATCTTCAACACCAAGCTATAAAAACAATGGACAAAYATTAAATGAACCCTTTTATCTCACTGGTCAAAAATAACAGGGATTCAAGAAGTCTTAGGTAAAATTGTATATTGATGCATGTCGACAAGAAGCAGTCTTACGTTTGAGGTAATGGGAGGTTCACATATCTGGGGTTTGAGATGAATGGAATAAATAAAA